GAAGCAATGAGCATGAAACTGAGCAAACTCAGGGAGGTAGTGAAGGACAGGAAGGCCTGGCCCAATATGGTTCATGGGGTTACGAAGAGTCGGACACGACTTAACGACTGAACAACAACAACAACAACATGTTTTCCAATGGTACCTTTTCCTTTATACTAAATGATTATGAAGGAAAGAAAGATGAAGTCATTGCAGAATGCTGTGAGGTTGGTAGAGCTCAGAATGCTCCCTCTGAAACTCTTTCTAATGCAAATTAATTTTCGAACATCATATATGTAACAAAACATCTAAAATAGCTTCAGTGGTACAAACTTGTAATTCTGTTTATCAGGCAGCTGGCCCATGCCGCTTCAAAACACAGCAGGTGTGAACAGAACTTTTTGTAGGTTTTTCCCCAGTGGGGTTATGATTTCATGAACAGAGTTTGCTTATATGGGATGTGTTGGAGAAAAAGGTGTATTTCATTCTTTGTTACCTAATCTTCATACTAAATTTAATTCTTTACTTGCTTATTGTTTTTTTAAGTAGAAGAAGTAGGAAAACAAATGAGCTTTCAGATACCGCAGCAACAGAATTGTTCAAATCACATTTCAAATTGGATTATAATTCCAAAAGAAACATTAAGCTCTGAAACAGCAAGAGACTGCGGTTCTCACCAGCAGAAATTGGGGAGTGGTCAATAGCACTTTAGTGGCTTTGTAATTTCAGCCTGAAAGAAGTTAGTTGATTAAAGCTAACAGGGCCCAAAGGCCATTGGTATGAATTATTAGCTGAGAGCTCATCAGACAAAATGAAGTCTGACTCAGCTGCATGAAGAAGTAAGATAATGAAGTCTCCAGTAATTGACTTTGAGGTTCAAAGCAAGTTGAATTTAATTTTTATGCTCATGCAGGGGAGACTGCAGAATTATGGATGCAGTTAGTCTAAGATCTGTTTTAAAGTGTGGATAAGCATGCTTGGCGGGGAACTGGAGCTGCAGTCCAAGCACATCTGGAAAATGTCAGGTTGTGAAAAGTTGTTCTAGAAGCTCTTTGGATCACATGATATTCAGAAGTAATTGCAGTGTCCCTTCCTTTAGTGTCCAGGCTTCTGTTGATCAAAAATGGTAGGATATCTTTATGGGTTTGGAAATCCTGGTACCACTGGACATTTCTTTGTGGTATATGAGTTTGTCCTGCAGAGCATAGAAGAGTTGGGCCATCTAATGGATGGTATGAAGTGTTCACACAGTTCAGCGTCTGGTGGAAGTTCCATTCAGGCAGCCTGGGCAGACCATACGTGATAATTTTATCTTCCATGACGCTCTAATTATTCTTACAAAAGCCAATTCCTGACGTCTTATGTTATGGCAAGATGGTGTTCTTGTTTTTTTGTGCCAGTCCATTGAGTTTTTTGAGGTCCTTAATGCTATGTTGTTTTTTGTTTTGTTTTGTTTTGTTTCTTCTTACCAATCTTTCTTTTCCCCTGATTTACAGGTTCATCCAGGTCAGCACTATGACTGATGGGGACTATGACTATTTGATCAAACTCCTGGCCCTCGGGGATTCTGGGGTTGGAAAGACCACTTTACTGTACAGATACACAGACAACAAGTTTAACCCAAAGTTCATCACGACAGTAGGCATCGACTTCCGAGAAAAGCGTGTGGTGAGTTTCCTCTTAAAAAGGGGGAGAGAAGAGGCAGAAACGTGTTCCTGAAGCTTCCATTCTTTCAAAGGAAATATTTTCAATACCTCAGTGGGGCAATATCTGTTTCTTTGGATGGCTTTTGCCCTGCATTTTGTAGCCTTCACCTGAATTCTGCGACACCTGACCAGTCTTTTCGTCCAGTCCAAGTATTTGTATATAGTTTTGTTTCTTCCCAATTTAATCAGTCTTATAAGTTTTAACTTCTGTGCTTTCAAGGCTGTTTACACTGCTGTCTGTGAAGCAATCTGGAAGCCTCGATAATAGTCTAAGATTCACTGTTCTTTAAAATTTGCCATATTAATATAGATTTGGATGTTTTCAACATCATCATTATTTATATTTTTGATTTGCTCAGTAGCTGATTCTGAGCTTACCTTCTTTCCGCAACAGGGATTTTAAAGTCATGGGAGCTCATACTGGCATATAGTACAGGCATCTTTGTGTGATCTGCTGTTTACTTAGCTCTTAAGGGAGTTTTGGGGGATCAAAGCTGAAAAGTATTTGGAGAGTCTCTAGATTGATATGGGAGCATTTGCGGAAACTAGATGAGAACACTGAGGCTTTCTTTTTTTTTTTTTTTTTTTTT